ATCTCTGCATGCAGCACTCATGCCGGTGTGTGCTGTGTGTGCAGGGTTAGATCCTGTGTTTGGATCTCTGCATGCAGCACTCATGCCGGTGTGTGTTAGGGTTAGATAGATCCTGTGTTTGGATCTCTGCATGCAGCACTATAAGGTATTGCTGCCATGTCAGCCTCTACAACACTGAGGTCCCTTTGTTTTCCCTCTCATGGTTAGAAAAGCAGACGTGTGAATGTTTTAATGCCTCTCACTGATTGGAAAGTACTTTGACTTTTCTCATTTTGACGAACTTTGACCACACCATTGGGAAGAGCTAATGTTTAGGTTTCCATATACTGTTACCCTGCTATGTTTCAGGTAATATAGTTAGAGAAAGGTGAGGCATATTATTAAACTAAGTACTATCCAATCTACTTTGGATAGGTATTTTTTAGTTTTTTTCATAAATTTTTAGAGCGGATAGCATTATAGTTATTCCTTTTATTCTTTGTGTTTATTATTGTGTTTCAAGCAGTGCTGAAGGTAGAACATAGGGCCTTGCTCTTGCTGGGTAAATGCTCTATCATTGAGCTGTACCCCAGGAGGTATAATTTTATCCATTTTTCCTGAAACTAAACATCATGACTCTGCTGGGGCCTAGTTAGTGACTGGGCAGTAGTTAGTTGATGAATTTGAGACTCTGAATAAACTTCCTTGTTTTTTCCTTGTGGTATCACATTTGCTTTGTTGTACTCAAAACAAGGCACCAAGCTGAGTGGTAGCAAGTACCCATAACCCTAGCTACTGGGAGGCTGAGGCAGAAGCATCTGGAGAGCAAGGCCTGCTTGGCAACAGTGCAGCTGACCTCATCTCCCAAACAACCACCAAAAAGCACAAACCAAACTGAAAAGCACAGGCGACTTCTTGCTAAGCAGACCTGGGGTTGGGGGATGTTCATTCCATTCCACATCAGCTGTAAGTAGGTAATAGTCAACAAATGTTGATACGAACAGAGTGCTTGTGCACATGCAGAGGACTTACTAGGTACTACAGGAAACTACAGAGGGAAAGTGCCCTGTCCTTCAGCTTGTACTATAGTTAGGGAAAACACGTAAGAAAAATGCAAGAAGACAGTTTCTTTACTGTGCTGAGGTTAAGAGAGCTGAGGTCACTGAGCAAACGTCCCAGCATTCCTGGGCAGTGCTTTGAGTGATTCTGCTAGACATTTGGTCCTGTTTCCATTTCCAGCTCTGCAAAAACATTGTAATAATAAATATATAAGATAACTATGCTGCTTTCTGCCCCAAAATTTTGTGGAGAAAAATTTAAATCTGCATCTAGAATAGATAGTACTTCAAGTTATTAATGGTATACCTATCCTTTTCCTAAACATTGACATGGAACATATCAAGGTGACAGTATATGAAAACTTACCTACACTTCAGCTCTCCTCCAATGTTGTAGTCAAAGTTTATCAAAATGAGAGAAGTCAAGGTGCTTTTCCAATACAGTGAGGGGCATTAAAACATTGACACGTGTCTGCTTGTCTGAGTGGAGGGGAGACAGCTGAAGAAAAGCTAAAGGGGAGTAGACTAGAGAGAACCAAGGTGTTGATGGCCGCACTGCCCCATTTCCCTCCTCCTGGAGAGGGCTAGAATTACAGTGCAGACAGTGTGTTCCTGAGGAAGCATTATCATTGCAATATTTCCAAGTTTGCTTATCCGTGACTGAATCTTAACTGACGTGGCCCAAGATACGAGCTAATGGAAGATCCCAATCAAGCCATTGAGTGGCTGATGCAGTTGATCAGCGTGGTGCCGACTGACTCCCAAGCTCTGTCTAAACTAGGGGAACTATACGACAGTGAGGGGGATAAGTCCCAAGCGTTCCAGTATTACTATGAGGTGGGTGTGCGGTCTCACTTTCCTTCTAGTTTCTGACGGTTTGTGGATTTCAAGGGAACAGGCCCTAGAATTCTAGAAAGGATTATTGGTTTAAACTAATAATGATTTGTTAAAATAAAATATTATTAAACTATAGTTTTGATTCGTTTTAGTTAAAATGAAAAATACTAACTCATTTTTCTTAAACCATACTTTGCATCTCCTGATTCTTTTAAATATTTAATATAACTCACATCGTACATAACTGAAAACTGTCGAGTATACCTACATTTTCTAAGTCTTGTATCATTTTAGAACTTGCAAAGTTATCTTGATACTTCATACTTTTTATCAATCAATCCATTCAACAGGTAAAGTAATCACGTATATTCTGTACTGCTACTGAAGTTATGTTGTCACCTTCTGTGTTTTCTCTAGTCGTACAGGTATTTCCCTTCTAATATTGAGGTCATTGAGTGGCTTGGAGCTTATTACATTGATACCCAGTTCTGTGAAAAAGCTATTCAGTACTTTGAAAGAGCATCTCTTATACAGTAAGTAACTGTTTTATATTTAGTTAATGTCTTGCATTGAGACTGTTTTTTATCCCTAAAAAATTAGTATTTGATAAGCCTAATAAATTCATGAAAAATTTTTTTTTTTTTTTTTGGTTTTTTGTTTGTTTGTTTTTCGAGACAGGGTTTCTCTGTGTAACTTTGCGCCCTTCCTGGGACTCACTTGGTAGCCCAGGCTGGCCTTGAACTCACAGAGATCCACCTGGCTCTGCCTCCCGAGTGCTGGGATTAAAGGCGTGCGCCACCACCGCCCGGCTCATGAAAATATTTTAATGAGTTGTTTTCATTTTCTTGTACTTTTTTCATTTTACTTTGTCTCTATTGTGACAGATATATTTTCCTTTGCATAAGAACTTTAAATACCTTTTATGGCGTACTTTGTCCTTTCCCTCACCTGAACCTCAGTGAACAAGTAGTGTTTATTTACAAATCAGAAAGTGACTTTCTGAGTCTTAGGACAGTTTTATTGCTAGAAGAGTCTTCACAGAAGGAAGTCGTATTAGTTTTAATTTACAGTTGCTGTATATTGAACCTTGCTCGTTTTCTCTCTTTTCATCTCAGCCTCCTCCTGGCTTCAGTTCTGATCATGGCCTTTCTGGAATGCCTGCTTGGTCATATCTATTCCGTTTCTTGCTGGTTCCTCAGTTCCATTTTCTCTCTTGTTTTGCTGGCCTGTCTGCTCTCCCAAAGTTTTGTTCTTGGGTTAATGCAGCCATTTGTTCCATTGGGGACAGCTGTGCAGATGTTTAAACGATGTGACCTGGTAATGGACGCCGTCATCTGCGTCTGTCAGGCCGGCACTGCTCCTTCGTCTCTGGTGCTTCCTTGTCTCCTCAGCCTTTCAGGCTCTTCAGCTCCTCTCCTTGTTCTACACCTGAGTTTCCCTGAAAATGGGGGTCTTTCATGTGAAGTCCCTCTACACTTCTCTCCCTGCTTTTCTCTCTCTACCTTCATTGCTTCTGGTCTTCTATGTTTTTAGTGACAGGCATTCAGTATACATTAATTACATTTCCTCTATATTTTTGATCATGTATTTACTGTACTGTACACCATAATTTCTTTTCTGGTATGTTAAATCATTTGTAAAATACTTTTTTTTTTTTTTTTTTTTGGTTTTCGAGACAGGGTTTCTCTGTGTAGCTTTGCACCTTTCCTGGAACTCACTCCGTAGTCCAGGCTGGCTTCGAACTCCCAGAGATCCACCTGGCTCTGCCTCCCAAGTTCTGGGATTAAAGGCATGCGCCACCAACGCCCTGCTCTAAAATACGTTTTTATTTTTGCCAGGCATGATGGCACACGCCTTTAATCCAAGCACTCAGGAGGCAGAGGCAGGTGGATCTCTGAGTTCGAGGCCAGCCTTGGTCTACAAAGCGAGTTCCAGGACAGCCAAGGCTACATAGAGAAACCCTGTCTCAAAAATACCAAAAAAAAAAAAAAAAAACTTATTTTCAACTGATACATAATTATTGTAGATACTATGTGCTAAGTTTATTGCTGTATAAAGTCTGCCTCTGTCATAAGAACATAAGCTCTTAAGGAGTGGGACTGTTCATTCTTCTGTCATATAACTGCTTACATATTATAGAGAACTGGCAAGTGGTTTAATTCAGTTTAATTTCTTCTAGTGACACCTATGATAGAAACGTCTCTCCTGGTTGTATCACCTATATTTTTGTGGTTCTTAGTGATCTACTGTTTCCTACTTGTTTAAGCCTATACTTTTGTTTTATATTTTCTGTATATCTATAAATTACATCTTAAAATATTAATACTAGCCCCAACTAATTATAGTCACTCACATCTGTAATCCCAGTGCTTGAGAGCTAAGGCAGGAGATTTTCCACAAGTTCAAAGCCAACCTCTTGGGATACAGTGTGAAAACCTGTTTCAAAAAAAGAAAGAAAGAAAAGGAATGAAGGAAAAAGGAAAAGAAAAGAAATTCTACTCCTATTGGTCCATTATTCAATGCAATTCTATTGTTTAGCAGTTTTGGAGGATGTTATTTAATATGTTCATCATGATTACTATCATAAAACGCCATCTGAGGACCAGTGTATGCACTGTGGGAGCTCCAGGAGAGGAAGAGAACAGAGCAGAGAAACTGCTGAAACTCACTGTGGCCAGCATTTCCCACAGTTGAGGAAGGTTGTGGATCTGTGAGTCTGCAGAGCTCAGTGAACTCCAAGTGGGAAAAACCCAAGGGACCCCATGAGACACTTTAGCCACACTGTTGAGAAAGTCTTAGCCACACTGTTGAGAAAGTCTTTAGAGCATCAAAAGGAAGTGTCCTCACATACAAGGGGTGCTGGATAAGATTAAGCAGAGTCCTCAGCAGAAACCTTGAAGTCCAGAAGACAGTAGATGGTATATATAAAGTCCTGAAATCTGATAGTAAAGATAACCAAAATCTCTGAGGAATATATGCACAAAATTGAAATATAATAAAAGAATGTAGTAAAATTGCAGAGTGTAAAGTCACATAAAATCTTTTTGTATTTATGTAGACTTGCAATAAACAATCCAAAAAGGATAACTATGAAATTAGTAAAAAAAAAAAGTATCATTTATAACAGCATTAAAAAGAATAAGGTAACTAAGAATTCATTTAATTGTATTAGCTAAAAGCATGTGCTTAAAGCCATGACTCACTCCTGAAAGAGATTAAGTACATAAACAAATGGAAAGACACCAAGTACATGGATTAGAAGACTAGGGTTGTTAGCAGTACCAAGCAGAGTGACCTTAAGGTCAAGGCTCCCCCTATCAAAATCTCCATCGAATTTTTACATAGAAAATCCACCTAATAATCATATAGAATCTCTACCCAAAGAGGAATGAAGTTGGAAAATTCAGAACTCCTATTTTCAGAATGTGCTTGCATACAACCATAATCAAAATAGTGTGGTACTAAAAGGGGCTAGAAAGACAGATACGAGAATAGCCGCTAGCACCCCAGAGTAACCCTTCTCATACGTGGAAGTTGATTTCCTACAAAGGTAGCAAAACCATTCAATGGAGGAAGGAGAGTCTTCAACTAAAAACGTTTGACAAACTAGATATTTACATGCAGAAAAATAAACTTTGAAACCAACCGATGGTACACACCAGTAATCCCAGTTACTCTGTAGCTAAGGCAGGAAGATTTGAGAGTTCAAGGACAATCTGGGCTACAAATCAGTCCTCCATCTCAAAAACAACAACCACAGAAAATTGAACCCTTAGTTTACCCCATATACAAAAATTCACTTAAAGTGGATTACAGACCCAAATAAATGTAAGACTAAAAAACTATAAAACACCCACAAGAGAGGGCTGGAGGGATGGCTTAGCAGTTAAGAGCACTGGCTGCTCTTCCAGAGAAACCAAGTTCAATTCCCAGAACCCACATGGCAGCTCACAACTGTCTGTACCTCCTGTTCCAGGGGATCCTACACCCTCACACAGACATACATTCAGGCAAAACACCAATGTACATAAAATTTAAAAAAAAAAAAATTCATAAAAACCCTCGGTGGAAAAACTCTTAGAAATGACACCAGAACACAGAAATTAGACTTAATCAAGTTTTCAGTCTTCTGCTTAACACAGAAGAGTACAGAAGGAAGCCTCAGAGTAGGTCATTACTGAAGATGTATAAAGAGCCACTGCAACTTGACAGTAACAAAAATGAGCGAAGATTTTGAGCACATTTTTTAAGATGGTGTGGACTGCTGACACACACATGCAGAGATGCTTGGCCGCATCCGGCTTTGGGGAGTGCGAGTCGCACACATGCACACATGGGCAGCAGAATTAGACTGCGTGAGTTATTTGAAAGGAAGATAGGAACTAGGAGTGGGATTGTTGAAGGGGTGCCCTGGGACAGTGGAGGGGGAAATTGGGGGTCAGTATCATCATATTTCATTGTATACATGTATGAAATTCTCAAAGAATAAAAATATAGTCTTACTATGTTGCCCTGGCTGTCCTGAAACTCAGTATGTAGACCAGGCTGGCCTCAAAATCAGAGATCTGCCAGCCTCTGCCTCCCTAGTGTTGGGATTAAAGATGTATGCCACCATGCCTGGCTCAAAGAATAAATTTTTAAAAATAATTGTTTTAGGCTGGGCTAAAAAACAAAAAAGTAAATCAAAAAGGCAGAGTGTAACTTGGGGGTTGGATAACCAAGTGTTGAGGCGGATGTGGAAAAACTGGAGCTTCTGCACATTGCTAGTGAGAAAACACAATGCTGTCTTGTGTGCATGGTTTGCAGTTCATCAGAAAGGGACACTTAGACTCGCCGTAGGACCCAGCAGCGCGGCTCCTAGACAGGCGTGGAAAGGAGTGAAAGTGGGTCGTATCCTGTCCCTCCAGCTAACAGCCTGGGAAGTCGGATATGGTCCCGTGTGAAGAGGAGGGTGACCGTGGTATTCAGAGACAAGAGTAGCAACCCTGTGGTAGTGCGCTGCTGGGAGGTGGTGCCAGGAGCTGGTCTAGAGCAGTAGACCGCAGGTTGTGTAGGATGGCAGAGGCTGGGCGGGCCTTCTCACAGAGGGAGTGCATGTGACCTGGAGTCTAGCCATGCAGCCATGCGCCTGCCTGGGTTTGCTGAAGCTGAAGCCTCAACAAGGCCTGTCGAAGAGGACTGGAGAGGCAGACGGGGACTGGACGGTGGGGAAACTGGGTTAGGACCCTGAGTGTAACATGTGGGTGGAGTCAGTGACTGGTTTCCAGGGGAAAGTAATACGGTTAACTACGTATTTTATTTAGATTGCAGTGGGTAGGTGTGTGGCAGTGGGCTTAAAATTAAGAACTTGACACACAGCAGTGCTGAGATGAAGCCCAGATGTGTCCAACCCCAGAGCTGGTAGGCTTGCCATCGAACTAGCTTAGAGTTGGAAGGCATCTGGAAGCCCCTGGGGAAGAAGCGCAAGGGAGTTTTGAGGGCAGGGAGCATGAAACAGTTCCCTGGGCTGTTCCCGACTCAGATCTGGAGGTGGGGGTGGAGACAGGATTTCCCACTGTGACCCAGCCCAGCCCAGAACTCACTACATAGCCAAGGGTGGCTTCAAAATCAGCAATCCTCCTGTCTCAGCCTCCTGTGCGTGCTGAGAGTACAAGCATGCGCCCCGTGCCTGTCTTGGATGTTTGCAGGGTTAGTCTCTAGAGGTCTTGGTTATGATTATTACTTTAGAAAAGAATGTGATTTCTTGTTGAAGGTGAGGGGCGTAAATAGAGTTCTCGTTGCCTCTCTTTTCATTAAAGCCTGCTTGTTCTAACACAAGATCAAATATTTTATGTTCTAAATTTGTGAGCCTGTATATTACTAATAAAGGTTAAATAAACAAAAGGTCTGAGGTCTTAAAAGGAAATAGAGGTAGAAAGACATTTCACTGTCTCATTGTTTTTGTTTCGTCTCTGATTTCTTTCTCTTCTAGACCCACACAGGTGAAATGGCAGCTGATGGTGGCTAGCTGTTTCAGAAGAAGTGGTAAGTGTTTTGACTTTCTTCCTTTCTTATTTAGGAGTTATGCGTGTAAATGTGCTCCAGTTGAGTGTTTATTAAACATGAGCTTTCTAAATAACTACACATAATTGAAGCATGTCATCTAAAAAACATAATAATTACTACAGAATTAGTCATACAGAAAGGTCATGCTTCCCAAGCAGGGGTGTTTTGTTTTTGTTTGAGGCAAAGGCGGGGGCCTAGCACTGGCTTTGAATTGAAGCGCAAACACTCTACCGCTGAGTACACCCTAGCCTGCAGACAGTCCAGTGACTCTCCTAAAAACGGGTTACATGTTAACCACAAAATATCCTTTTTATATTAGTTTCTATTCCCATATTTTGCCCGAGTGATTTTTAATTCAAAACTGTGACATCGGGAACCATATTATTTACAACAAAGGTCGCTAGGTACAGAGATGTGCACTTCTGTCCTGAGGAGATGCCTGTGACTTAACTGCTGGAGAGTCACCCAGGAGGTCGGTGTTAACAAGTTACAAATCCTCCTTAGAGCATAAAATGCCAGGAAAGACAGTCCTAACCCCGCCCCCCCTCCCCAGGAAGCACAAGCTGAGGTGGTCCGAGTTGACCTGCTTGAGTGGGAGGTTTCCTGATAGCTGTCAGTGTCTTCAGAATGGCTGGGACATACATTACAAACTTAGTCTGGTCCTAAAGTAGTGGAGGGCCCACTCTTTCCCACTACCGTGGCCCTGTCACGTGGACAGTTTGACTGAGAGGTGCCATTCATTTGCACAGGACCACGAGTCACACCCCAAGCTCTGATCTAAACATTAGCCACTGAATTATTTCTGCTGAGAAGTGGAAACTGACTTTCAACCATTTCCTTCCACTCTAACCTTTTTTCAATTTTGTTTGTTTATTCATTTATTTTTTGTTTTGCTTTTGAAGCCCAGTCTTACTGTGTGGCCTGAAACTCTCTGTAGTCAGGCTGGTCTCTACTCGACAGTGGTCCCTTCCTCTGCTTCCTGAGTGCGGAGGGTACAGGCATGAAACACCACACCCACATTATATATATATTTTTTCCTCCCAGAAATTACTCAAGAATAATACATATTTGCTTGTGCAAACATAAATGTTTTCTACTAAACCATTAAAGTATGCCAATGCTTTGGATTAGAATCAAAAATCTTATTAAATTTAGTAAGATTTCTATAACTTTATATAGCTAGCTATTATTACATTTTCCTCTCTCTTTACTTACAGGTAACTACCAAAAGGCATTAGATACTTACAAAGAGATCCACAGGAAATTTCCAGAGAATGTTGAATGTAAGTGACCTTATATTTTATAACTTTAAAGGCAAAGACACCACATTCTGTGTTCTAATAGATAGTTAAATTTGCTGCAGTAATAGTATGCATAAATGAAGCCTCAATTGTGGTACATAGCTTTAAAAGTTTTTATGCAAGCTGAATGGTGGTGGCACATGCCTTTAATCCCACCACTTGGGAGGCAGAACCAGGCGGATCTCTGTGAGTTCAAGGCCAGCCTGGGCTACCAAGTGAGCTCCAGGAAAGGCGCAAAGCTACACAGAGAAATCCTGCTTGGAAAAACCAAAAATAAATAAATAAATATGTTTTTATGCAATAATAAAATTTGACTCCAAAAGTATGCATCTTTATAGAACTTAGTTGCTGATAGGTTTAAGTATAATACCACATTCTACTTACAATTAAACAGATCTGCATCTCAAGCTCTTATGAAAACGTTTAAGAACAAATTTTGGGGAACTCAGCTGTAGCACTGTTGGTAGAATGCTTGCCTGACATGAACAAAGTCCATGGACCAACCCCACACCAACTAGATCCAGATGTGGTCCAGTGCTGCAGGGTGAAGACAGGGGGGTTAGAGGCCCAGAGTTAAGGTTATCCTCAGTTACATGAGTTCATACAAACAGTGATGTTTTATAGGACAGGCATTTGTAGGATTTGTATTGGAGTGTGTGTATGTAATGTGTGGGTAGGTACACGTGCACCCCATGTGCCTGTGTAGACCAGAGGACAACTTTGTGGGGTAGGTTCTCTCTGTCCACTTTTACATGGGTTTGGGGATTGAATTTCAGTTACAAGGTTTGCATGGAAACTGCCTTTACCCGATGAACCATCTTGCCAGCCCAAGAGAAGCACTTTTTAACTCTTTTTTTTTTTTTAAGGTTTTGTTTTGTTTTGTTTTCTCAAGACAGTGTTTCTCTGTGGAGGCCTGGCTGTCCTGGAACTCCACTTGTAGATCAGGCTGGCCTCGAACTCAGAGATTGCCTGCCTCTGCCTCCCGAGTGCTGTGATTAAAGACATGTACCACAGGCATGGGTAGGGGAGAGATTTCTCCCCATTGACACCTGAGGCAGGTGGGAGAGCTGTCTGTCTGCATTCCTCATATGTCATGTGACAGCATGGGGTAGGGAGAGATAGGGGTGGGAGAACCAACCCTGAGGACAGGAAAGCAGGAGGAGAACTAGCCAGGGCAATGCTGGTGGTGAGGACAAGGGAGAGCAGGTGGGCTGACCAACTCCCCAGAACCAGGGTTAAGTATTGGCCCACCCCAATTTCCACCCCACCTGTGATCTGGGGGAGCACAGACGGGGAGGGGGCGGTTCTGCAGACCCAGGGCTACAGGATCTCTGCGACACAGGGCAGCAACAGGATGTCCAGGGAGAGTCCCAGGGAGGGCTCAGTGTCAGGAGTGTAGCAGAGACCTGGGGCCTGCAACAAACCAATGATTCTTTGCGACGAACAGCTGCATGTAAAGATGTGTGGATAAAGGGGTTTACCGCGAGACTCACTGTGTCACACTGCAGCTTCCACGACGAGGTTTTCCCTTTCTTCCTTTTTCCCCTTTTTTATCTTAAATTTTATTTTGTTTTATTGGGGGGGAGATTGCAGGGGCAGAGGGCAGATTCGAGGGGACGGGAGATGGGTGGCATTGGGATGCATGATGTGAAAGACACAAAGACCAGCTTGTTTTTAAGATTCTTTTAATGTATATGTGTGTAGGGGACCACAAAGGCCAGAGGGTGTCAGGTTCCCTGAAACTGGAGTCACAAGTAGTTGGGAGCTGCCTGATGTAGGTACTAGGAACTAAACCCATGTCCTCTGCAAGAGCAGCAAGCGCTTTTAACCACTGAGTCATTTCTTCAGTCCTGGGAGAAGCATTTTTAACTGTCCATTTTAGTGTATAATGTTTTCAGGGTGAAAAAAAGATACTTTTACTATTTTTGAAAACAAAACATGAATAATAGTGCAGGTAATTTTTTTTATTGGGACTTTAATGTGTTTGTGTGTGTGGTTACTGTATACAGAGACATACATATGTGTGCTAGAGGTCAATATCCGGTGTCTTCCTCAGTTGCTCTCCACCTTATTTTTTGAGGTAGGGTCTCTTACTGTCCTGGAGCTTGCCAGTTTGGCTAGACTGGTTTACCATTGAGCTCCAGAGACCTGCCTGTCCCCGTCTTCCCAGCACTGAGACTGAAGCTCTGTGACACCATGCCTAGTGTTCCAGTGTGTGTTCCGGGGACCCACACTCAGACCTTGGTGTCTGCACAGCGAGCGCTTTACTGACTGATCGTCTCCCACCCCGAATTTTAAAATGCTGTCTTGAGATGGTACTTGCTTGTACATTGTGAGGCGAGCTTTGCAGAAGCACCCGTGTATTGCCTCTCTTGTTGCACTGTGGATTTGAAGCCTTTCATAGTGATAAGGAAAAGTATTACAGCAGGAACCGCAAAATCTGCTCTAAGAAAAACAGAAAATAGCCACCTTCATTCACTGCATATTGCCACCAACCTGTCAATTTTGTCCTTGTAGTCAAAGAGGAAAGTCCGCTGGGTGGTGGTGCTTACACCTTCAATCCCAGCACTCTGGAGGCAGAGGCAGGTGGATCTCTGAGTCTGAGGCCAGCCTGGTCTACAGAGCGAGTTCCAGGACAGCCAGGGCTACACAGAGAAACCCTGTCTCAAAAAAACAAAAAAAAAGAAAAAAAGAAAAGAGAAAAGTCAAAGTCAGTTTAGAATTTTTACCATTTTTTGTTAACAAACAAAAAGCAATTGCTTGAGAAGACATCTCTTCATTCATGGTGAGGATAGTCATTGAGAGGTGTGGGAGGTGTTGAGAACAGCGCTGCAGCGAAGAGAACATCTTTGAAAAGTCTTTTTCATTTTGTTCTTAAAAACAATAACCACGTGACACATTACAGTAAAAACACATCTCTCCTGAGCCCAGGTTCTGATGATGCAGCCTGATCCAAGGAGTAGGTAGAGTCCCGGCCTGGCTCCTGGAGGGGCTGGGGAGGGCTGAGAAGTCCAGGACCAAGAAGCAGGTCCATCACCTCACAGCCACAGCACAGACACCAGTGAGGAAACGGTCTACAGGGCGTCACTTGTAGCTCTTCCTTCAGAGGTGTTTAGGTTCGCAGTAGACCCAGGCATCTATTCTCTCTGTTTCTTTTTAAAAAGAAACTTTCTGTGTGGTTCTTAGTCTCAGTCACATTAGAGACCATTCAGGAGCCAGAGGTCCAGGGATGATGTATGTAAGTGGAACCTGCCTACCTGCACCTGGTGTTAGGTGATTGAGGGGTCCCTGCAGGTATCAGACAGGAAAGCAAACCTCGAGAAAGATGAGAAGGAAAACCTGGTGCAGATTGACTTCATCAACCAGGATCAGAGACTTCTGGGAGTCTGATGCCAGGCTATTCATTGTCAGCATATTTAAAACAGTACAGTTTGTGAAAACCTTTCCAGACTGCAATTGGTTCAATTCCAGGTGCACAATAAAGCTTAAGGTGTGACTCCATAACAGTCTAGGGGAAAGAAGAATGTAGATAATCATTCTGGGGAATTTGGGTGAAGTCTGTCTCTATAGCAAAAGGTGGGTGAGGTCTGCCACACCCACTTTCTTTCTCCATAGGTAGCAAAGAGGTCACCAGGTCGTTAACAGAATCCATTGTCAGCCTTCTGGGTAGGAAAACAGGACCACTGAGAAGAGAACCCGTTGGGTCTCCCATTCCTAGTTTCCCTGCTGGTCTGTGGGTGCAAGGACCTTGGGCCCCCAGTAGTTGATCCTAGAATATGTGGGCCATCCAGCAGGTTTGTAAGCAGCATTCGCAGCCTCCACCTATTAGATGTTAATGGCGCCCCCTCCCGCCCCCACCTCTGCCCCATTTGCTGAAACCTGAAGTCTCCCGGCTTGGCAAAATGTCCCTTAAAGGGTAGAATTGCTTCCTGATGAAAACCACTGGAGTAGCCACAATGCCTTGGTGCAGAGCCAGCAAGGCTACATTTTTTTCCTTTATAGAGTGTTTTAAGAGTTACCCTAAAAAGTAAATGAATGATTGTGTACACTATAAGGAATATCTAAGATGACTTGGGCCTATATAATTTTCAAACAAGTGTAATCAATTGACTTTAATAACTGGAGCTGTAGTGGGGAAATTTGTGGAATGTTATCTGAAGCAGGATCATTTTCTGGTGAACCCATCAAGATTTTGTGGGAACGGCATGCATGTGGGGAGAGACGTATATGCAGGCAAAACATCCGTACACACCAGAAAACTTTCAAGTTTAAAAATTGGCCTATTTTACACACTTACAGATGATATCCTACATTTCATAGAACAGCTGCCAAAATGGTCTGGGGTTTGTTTATCTAAGTGGGTCTCATGTAGCCCATGTGAGGTGAGAACTTACCATGTAACTCAGGTTGGCCTTGGAACTAGTCATTTTTATCTTCTATAAATTGCCACTAAGCTGCTCTTCTGAGGGAGGGCAGAAGAGAGAAACAATGGTCTATTACTCCCAGAGCATAAACTACCTTTTCATTGTGGATTACCAAGGTAAATGTGTACATAGAAGACTTATATAGTAATTATGACACTTCCGATTATTTTAGAACTGCTAAAATTTTCAGTGTTTTACTGATCAGAAACTAGCTATTTTTGTACACATTTTTATGAATGATGACTATATTCCAGACACCATTGAACACTGAATGTAGCATAGACCCAAATCCTTGGTGTTGTGGATCTGATATCCTACAAGGAAGAGAAAGTTAGTAGCAAGTTTGATGTTGAGAGCATGGAGGGACTGGGGCCTTAGGCCACCGGTGCTGGGCCTTTGAGGTGGCATTTAAACAGGTACCTGAAGAATCGAGGAAAACAGTGATGAAGACGTGGAGCATTGTCAGTCAGGCACAGTGACCATGTGATGTGAGACCTGGAGGGCAGGGGGCCAAGAAGTCCCGCAGCTCAGACTCAGGACCTTGGAGCAAGGCTTCAC